GAACCAGCCTTGTTTGGACAGTCAAGGGAGAGAAGAGAACTTTGCTTCTGAAAATTGCATGTCTGCCAGGGACATCAGAAAAGAGGGTGGGAAGGTCTTGGAGGATTCTCTGAGATCTGAGAGAAATGCTTTGCTTGCTATCGGGGCTACGGCTGCGGTTGACCGGCTTGAAAGACACTATAAAAGGTTGTTGGAGGGCTGGGAGGCGGCTATCATGGAGATAAGTTCCGACGACAAATACGAGAGCCTACTACATGGGTTTGCTATCGAGAAAGGTCAAATGGAAACAGAAATGAGGTGTATGGAAAGACAATGGCCGCGGGAACTGAAGGAATACAAAGAGTGCTTTGCTTCGGGATGCATTGATAAGAAAAAGAGGAGACATATACCAGAGTCGAGTAGAGAGCTTTTGGAAAAGGCATTCAAAGTGAAAAGATTTCCCAACTCGAAAGAAAGGGAGAGGATAGCAAGAGAATGCGGGATTAGCCCACTCCAGGTCCGGGTGTGGTTTACGAACAAGCGAGCTAGGAGCAAGCCGAGAACATAGAATTGAAGCATTTTAGGACCCTTCATCTCTGTAGCTGAATTTTCTAATTTCACCCAACCGTTTCCTAGCGTGAGAAAGTGCGCTCTCGAGTTTGAGTATCTCAACCTGCTGTTCAAGCTCAGCTGTTCTGTTCTCGTGAGCGGTGAGTTGCGAGTAGTCAACCGTTTTGGGACTCTCATCGGTAAGCAAAAGACTCCTTACCTTGGTGACTAGCATTTTGCATGAAGATGTGACCTTTTTGGATGCTTCCTCCAAATTTAAATGGCTTTGTGACATCAGATCCGACTTAACACGGGAAGATGAGACTAGCTGCGCTGTGGCAGATGCAACCTCATTAGATGCGACAATTAGCTCCTCGCTTGTGTTTGTTCCTGCTAAGACACCGTCCGCCATTTTAATGAGTATACCCGTTGCATAAGCGACTTGTTTGGAGGCAGATATAAGGCCTTCGGTCCAGCGATTATTCTTTTTGTAGAATAAAGCTCTCGACATGGAACCCTTTTCACGAGATACGATTTCCTCCTGAGCATCTATGCAAGCTTTCAACAACAGCCTGACAGCATTAATGATAGCACTAGCGCAAGAAATGATCGCTTCATTCACCTCAAGTGAACCATCCTCTTGGACTTCTAGCTTGTGGCGGGTTGACATTGAGTCAAGCAAGCCAGCTGCCTTTTCAACTGCTGCTTGCGTGTTTGCAAGTTCCTTATCCAAGATGGAGCCAAGTTCGTCGGAAGAGACTGATGTTTTCATACCAGGGTCTCTGAACACTTCGACGACCTGCATCAAGCTTTGAAGGACCTCTTGTACATTTATGTTGCCCGTGATGACTCTGTCAGTCCTTTCATGAAGTTCCAGCTTCATCAAATGATTGCTAAGCATTGACTCGAAGAATAGCTCAACCATGTGAGCTAGATCTTTTGACCCTTCAACAAGAATCTCCTGGATATCATCCTTACGATCACGAAGAATTGCCTTTACATTGGAGAACAGATTTCCTATTGAGTCAGAAAGCTCTATGAGAGTTTTGATAAGGCCACTTTCATTTTCTCCTCTCATATCGTCTGCAATGTAATCTGTCATGGTGGTGGAAAACTGAGTACTTAAGTGAGAGACTTTCTCCAACATGGTACCCAAGTATTCTGCAGTTGGAATGTCAGTATTAGAGTATACTGGAGACTCAAGGTTGAAAACAAACTCACGTAGACGATCAATGCTTACCTTTAGTAGCGTGTCTATCAGCCGATGAACTCTTACTTCAGCTTCCTTTTCTATGGCCTGTTGTTGTTCTGCAAACTCTTGCATAGTATCATCCATTGCTTGTTGCAACATCTGTACTTCTTGTTGTGCTGTCTTGTCTAGTTCACCTTCTTTGAGCTCCGAAGCGTGTGCTTTGATCTCCTCTATCTCTTTGCTATGTTGCGAAAACACTGACGCTAGGTTCCGGGAATGTGTTTCTTCGACTGACTTTAGTTTCGACTCCATCTCCCTCAGCTGTGTCTTGAGCAGTTGAACTTG